TCAGGAAATATTAGATTACACAGCAGCAATTTTTCTCGATTGGGAAACTAATGAAATTGACGAAAAGTTCTAGAGCTAGTTAAAGGTAGATAGCTAGTAGTCTATTTATTTATAATAAATAAATAAAAATAGAGATTAGGTTCATCTATGCGAGACTAGCGTTACATTTTGTTTGAGATAGCAAATTCCATCTTGTTTGTGATAGCAATATAGCATTTTTCATTTATAACAGTTAAAAATTGGGTACATCTATGTGAGACTAGCGGTACATTTTGCTTGTGATAGCAAATTCCACGTGGTTTGTGATAACCATGAAACAGGTGTATACTTAAGAACATGTCAGGTTAGAAAACCGCCAATGTATATATTTTTCTTATCACCAGATAAATAATAGACACCTTATGCGAGGTTAGCGTTATATTTTGTATATGATAGCAAATTTCATCTGGTTTGCGATAACCTTGGAACATCTTTGTCGCACAGGTTAGGAAACCACTAAAGTACCATTTTTCGTCAATAACAGATAGAGATTAGATTTTATCTATGTATGTGAGACTAGCGTTACATTTTTATTGTGATAGCAAATTCCATATGGTTTGGAATAGCCATCGAACAGGTCAATAATGTGCACATGACAGGTTACGAAATAGCTGAAGTACTATTTTTCATTAACAACATATAGAAATTAGGTACATCTATGGTAGATTAGCGTTACATTTTGCGTGTGATAGCAAATTTCACCTGGCTGGTGATAACTATGGAACAGAACTGTACCCATGAACATGACCGGTTAGAAAACCGCCAAAGTTCTAATGTTCATTAATAACGGAGGTTAAATATCATTATGCCCGATTAACGTTACATTTTGCATAGGTGGCACTTGAACAGCAGGGCGCTCTGGATTGTGTTGTCTTAAAGGCCATGTAGTCTCTTTCAATAGACGACGCATGACCACGATGATGCGGCGACCTTAGTATAATTAATGCTGATATTTCGAGGGCAGGTCTTGTTGATGACGATAGATGAATAAATTCTGTTCTATTCTAGCCACCTAAGGTGAACCAGGTGAGGTAGCGGAAGCCATAACAGAAATTGTCGCACGCAGGGATGCGTGCTTGGTCTGTGTACATCATTGTTTCTGGAATACCTTAAGAAAAAATTGAGCAATTTCAGGCTCAGTATTAAATTTTGACAGAAAGAAAGTAACTTTACTTGAGCGGATGATGCAGACATTACTAAGCCTAGTAAGGGCAATAATGGACAGTAACCAAGCAGTTAAAATAAATGACTCAACTTTGAAAATACCCTATATAATGTCAAAATCGGTCAAATGTCAACTATGCACTACGTACCAGCTAGTGTACCGCTGGTTCGCTCCGCGCCTACTACAAGTCAGCGTGAAATGAACGTCAGCTAGTTTATAGGTGCCGTTTTATAGGAAATACAACATAATGTCATAAAAAACCTATATAATGTCACTTTTTAAGTTAAGTTATACAGGTGCGGCTCGCCGAACATTTAGAAGAAACGGATTTCACGGAGAATTGCTTGACTCTTGCCGTATGGTGCACGTTCTATCCATGACAAACTAAGCTACCGCTATGCTGGCATCCATATTACGTAACTTAAAAAGTGTCATTACATCGATCTTTTATGACATTATGTAGGTCTTTTTGACATCATGTATGTTTTCCTACAAGATATCACCTGTAACCCAGCTGACATTCACTTGATGTTCACACTGAGAAGCAAATTTAATTAAAACTAATATCTTAATGAGGTCGATTAAAAAAATAAATCGTGTCACAGCTAACAAGTACAATCAAACTCCGATTCTAGAACAGTGTACTTGAAATGAAACTATGAAACTAGTTTAATTAAACCAAAATTAATGAACTACTAGAATGAGCTTTCCTGCTCCAAGTAAAACAATTTAATTATATCTGTAAAATTTGCTCAAAAAGTTTAGGTAAAAGTTTTTGCTTAGTTTTAATGAATTATTTCATGTAGATTTAAATGGATATTTTGACAATATTTGGAATTTCAAAAGAATAAGTTGCATTTAATGTATGATGTATATTATAAATGTGCTCTGACAAATCTTAGATATCAAAAAATTTGGAAAAATTGGTATTGACAGTTGATTTTTTCGATCCAGGCCATAATATATCATATATATCGTTGTCCTAAATTTAGAAAGTAGGGAAAGGGATACCTGAAACTGAATGAGACCACTTGAGCATGTGTACAAAAATTGTACTTTTATTTCTAACAATAAAACAATTTTACACTCGCATTCAACGCATTCACATATATGGATAAATTCAGTGACATTAGAAGTGTTATACCCAGAAAAAAATATTTCTTTAACTTGATTTTTTGGCAATGGGACGATAACATTCTCACGAAATTTTATTGACAAGTAATAAGAAAAAAAAATTAAAAACGTGTTGGGCGACCCCGCAGATGAATACACTCCTGTACTCGTCTAGGCATCGACAAAATGAGATAATCGATGTTTGGTTGTGGCACCTCATTCCAAGCAAATCGAACTTTGTGTATTAGCTGTGGTAGAGCCTGTGGCGGATGGTGCAAAGTGGATAGTCTCCTCCCCATCATATCCCTCACATTTTCGATGGGATTTAAATCCGGTGAACGAGGTGGCCACGGCAAAACATTGACGTTTTTGAGTTATTGATATTAATTTCAAGAAAATCCAAATACATTTTGTATTCAAACATGAAATCAAATTTTCTATCAAAACAATAGCTTTTATTAACACCACAAAAGTGATCTTAGCCTAAGCCAATCAATCCTTGATAAATTGTCCAAATATATTACCTCAGTGCAAAACACACAAGGGTTTGTCTAGGTATTCGTTTAAACGACTTGCTTATACGGTGATCCACATCCTTGAGTGTTGTAAGTTTCTCCTGGTAAACCTGTCATTTGACATGGCCCCGGAGAATGAAGTCGAGAGGCGTCAGATCGGGAGATCTCGCTGGCCAATTGATCGGCCCGCCTCTATCTATCCAACTATTAGGGAGCCAGCAGAATAGATACGGCTCTAAAAGTAGATCTATTCAAGAAAAACATTAAACCAGAACAATAAGCTGCCGTGTTTAGTGCGTGATCAGCTTGCTGATATATACTCAGTGACATTAGAAGTGTTACACTCAGAAAAAATAATTCCTTCAACTTGATTTTTTGGCAATGAATGAAACGATACCATTCTCATGAAATTTTGTTGACAAGTAATAAAAATAAAATAAATGATGTGCTGGGCAACCCCACAGCTGAATATTCTCCTGTCTGGTTGTGACACCTCATTCCAAGAAACTCGAACTTCGTGTATGATGAGCAATATGGGGAAGCGCGTTGTCTTGCTGAAAAAGGACGTGTGGACGGCCCTCTAGATACGGCAGTAAAGTAGTTTGTAGGACATTATCAACATAACGCGCAGCAGTCTTATCGCCTTGAACAAACAGAACGAGTAATCGGCGACCATAGGCAATAGCCCCCCAAACCATTACTCCAACAGTCCTGTGTACATGCCTCTCAACAGCTAATCCAACGGCGGCGTCTTATCCTACGAGCATCCTGCGTATCTAGACAGAATCGCGATTCGTCGCTGAAAATGACATTATGTCATTCTGCCTCCCAATATTGCCGTTCTCTGCTCCAGTTCAAACGTTGACGACAGTGGTCGTCCGCAGTCAGAGGAAGCAATAACCGTGGATGGTATAAAAAAACGCCAAAGGCTCGAATGCGGCGATAAAGCGTATGCATAGTAATAGGTCTACCTTCTTTCCCAAACCATTGTTCGTCGTGTGGTACGCCTCGGTGGACCAGTTGGCCTTTTTCGTGTTCCTTTACCTTCTTTTATCCACACACGAAACACACGCATTACCGTCATTGCTGTACAATAATTAATACAGCGGCCAAATTCGCGATAGGACAAACCAACATCTCGATAGGCAATAATTCTACCCCCGTCAAAGTCGCTAACATGGTGATAATTTGCACTTCTTCGGACTCGAGGCATTTTTTATGCTTAACACTAGAAAATCAAAGGGCAAAAGCTACAGATATCTGTATTACTCATCTCTCAGGAACTGATTTCTTCACAAAAACTAAAAGATGGTATTTTAACAAAGATAAACAAAAACAAAGATAAAACGTTGACATTGTTGCTACAGCTGATTTAAATATAGTCATTATGTTGCAAAAAAAAACAGGTTTAGGGAATTGTTTTTTTCTAGGTGTAACACTTCTAATGTTACTGAGTATAAACTCGACACCACTTTAAACAAACTAGGACATCTTCAAATACGACGAAGAGTAACCGGTAAGCCTAACTCTCGAGAACGAAAATTTAAATCTATTGTATGTAGAAAACGGCAGATATATAATAGTACACGGAGCCCCACTGCTGGAGTTTCTTTGTGTGCGTTAAAACCGATTAAAGCGCTCATGATGTAATACGCTATATAAATGGTCCATGATAGGGTAATCATTACGTGCAGTCCATTGTCAGCGGTCAGCGGCAATAGGAAATCCTGAAACAGTCAGGTCCATGCAGGGCTTGGAGCTGAAAACAAAACGATCAGCTTTATGTCTATTTGATGATTTTATAATTACTTCGAATGGTGGAGTGCGAAGCTATAAAGGCAACCATTAAAAATGTGGGTAATGCTTGCGATCATAGTAAAATCCAGGAAATAAGATACCTTGCCTAGAAATATAATTACGTCCATGTCGTATTGTGGAAGTTCTCACAAAAATCTGTTGCTGTCTACCGGTAGATATAAAAAGGCTTCACAAGAGCCGCGTTCAGTTTTATGCTTTGGCCGATTACTCATTTGGTTTACGATACGTTCCTAAGTGGAAAGGTGGTCATTTGAAAAAGAGATATAGACTCGACTTTATATTGGCGAGCAGTTTACGGAAAATGGCAGCATATCAACCTGAAATGTATGCGAGCAATAACTGCTCGGAATATGATAAAGGGCACGGTTGTAACAACTCGATCATATTTAGTTTACCTCGAATATTATGAAAACTGTGGCAGGTAAGAGGTACAAAGGGAGGGGGGGCGCATGGGTAAAAAGTTTCGCTCAGATTCCAGTGTTCCGTCATCTTTCGCGCGTTAAATTCAGTTACTTATTGTAGTTTATTAACCAAAAGTAAGTATATTTGATGGAATTAGTTATATTTTAGCTTGAATATTAATATACAGGGTGTTTCAGTTTATTGTTGCATAACTTTAAGATTCGATAGAACTTTTAAAATTCAAATTCAAATTCAAATTCAAAAACCAATATAACTTACAAATTAAAAAAAACAACCTTCAGTACAATTTAAATAAAAAAAAGCTTCAAAAATACATGAGCTTGTATGCTCTTGCTACCCTGAATAACCAAGATTGCAACAGAAATCTGAGCAAAGATACTAGCATCAGATCTAGAACCAGCAAGTAACGGTATATGAATTGTGAAAATTCTGTATACTTTCATAAAGAGTAAATGTCTGGATCTTGTCGTCACAAATCCTAAATTACGTGTCTGCATAAACAAATCTAAAATTCATAACAATAGTACAGAAGCATACTAAAAACACTCAGAAGTATAAATATAGAGTACATAAAATATGAATATCTGAAATATGATAATAGAGGGATACTTCGAGTAAGGTCAAACTATGTTGTTTAAACAATAAAAATTTTGCGTAAAGGTTAAGCAGAGAAACAAGAGTACTACAATTTACTACAAAAGAATTTACTACAAAATAATAGACACCTAAGCTATATGCTTGTGTGTGTCATACAATATACAAATTCAATGCATGGCTAATGGTCATAAGGTATATTATGAGCAAATGTATATAAAAAAAGAAATAAAAAAAAACATTAGATAGAAACGAAATTACTGAGTTGAGTCAAGCTACCGTCGATGCAAGCATGTCAAAGTTATTTAAGATGAACTTCTTAATTCTTTTTTTGAAACTATACTTCGAGAGGATTTTATATTCTAGGGGTAATTTATTATACAACCTAATACCATCAAACTTTATGCATTTTTGGCAAACAGATTTATTCACTCTGGTATAGGTGTAACTTATATTTATTTTAGTTCTTGTTTCATAAGCGTGGCTGGTTGGAACATTGTTTCGGGAGTGAACAAATTTTAGAGCAGCAAAAATATATAAACCTCTAACATTCGAAAGATCATTTTCAATGTAAACAAATATGCAATCGTTAGGACTTAGATCGGGACTATATGGAGGATGGTCCAATAATTCCACGTTTTCTTCCGTTAAATACTGCCTTTTTTGGGCTGTGTGCGAGCTTGCATTGTCTTGGTGGAGGATTATTCTTCTTTCGGGGTTGATTTTTCGAAGCTCGGTCATGATTTTTGCCAAACAAATGGTGGTATACCAATCCGCAGTGACAGTTCTTTGCTCATTAAGAGGAATTGTTGCAATATGACTCGCTTTTGACACAAATGTCGTGACCATCTTTTTCGAAACACTTCTAGAACTGATGACTTTTCTTGGCTTTTCTCCACCTTCTTCACCCAAACAGCCGCCTATCGTTTATTTTCTGGTTCATATCATGGTCTTTGAGATCTTTAAGGACGCCTCAATCTTGCGATATGTCACATGTCTATCTTCAATGATGAGTTTGCGCACAGCATCGACGTTTTCCTGGGTGACTGCCGTTTTTGGTGCACCCTCCCTGGGATCGTCGCTAAGACTCACCCGTCCACACTTGAATTCTCCATACCAACGGGAAATTGTCGACTGATGTGGCGCTTCGTTGCCGAAAACAGACAGTAACTCTGAAAGTTGTAATAAATTATGGCGCGAAAATGTTCTCGGTTGAGTTCCATTTTTCTAATGACTTGGTGACACTTAAAAATTCACTGTAGTATTGTTGTGAAACTTTGCATTTAAGTTTACTAAAGAGTGAGGTTAAGATTCAGTACTGACGTTCGATCCGCGCGGCATACTATGTTTCTGTATGCAAAACTTAAAACACATCCCTCTAATACAACTTTAAGAGAAACGCAATAAATATAAGAATTTGGGCGGAATCTCTTGATGATAAATGTTCCTCAATACGAATGCGTAAATATCTTTGTGAATCTTAGCGGGTAATGAGTAAGCAACAAGATCAAAACATGGAAGAGCGGATAACTGTAACACACTCCGCGCTGTTCCGGAACGCCGATAAGCCGCCGAGATTTTTTTTTCATCCGAGGAAAGAAATTAACAATCCGTGTATTTGCGAAAGCCTTTAAAAAATACTTTCGTACTGACATAGTTTTGTGTGATACAGTACTACGTATATCGAGTACGAATACAGCGCAAGTGTAACGATTAAAGTCGGAACATGGTTGGAATTTCTAGATTTATGCAAATGTCAGCGCTTACCAGTTTGCCTCCGTACATCTTGCGGCTGCCTCGCCGAACCTTACTCTCAGTAGTGATGTCCTGAGGTATGTCACCAGACATATGGAACGTGCCAAAATCACGTAACTTTTTTTTACTAGTTTGATCACTTACCAGTAATTTGAATTTATCTTTATTAATGATAGAGTACTGATTCCTAGGCCAAATAATTTTTTTTGCTAATTTCATAATTTATTGATCTATTGAGCTCGAAACACCCTAATCCTGAAAGTATGATTTCACACATATGTTTCTTTCTTAGCGACTTGGCATTGTGTTGAGATCTTTTGGATATCAATGTTATAATATCTTATTAACAATTTTCCCGTATCATAAAATACCGTTGGTCGCTCCTAAAGTTGGTTTTCTAGGGTCCGCACCTAGACAACAAGCATCCTCCTACTTTTGACACTGATTAACAGACTGTCTTTCACTTTCCTGTTGAAGTTAAGTTAACTATACAAGTTGTTTCTTAGAGAGTTCCCCAATATCCCGATCATAGATGATCAGAACGGTATAGATGCGGCTCAAGTGGAGTGGACAAGCTTCGTTCAGCAAGCTCATCAGCGTGCAGCTGTACTTCCTGTACAACAACACAGCAGACTTTTTCTCCCTGCAGATATTCGACAGAAAATTTCTGACAAAATGGCTGCAATTAAGCAAGCGAAAAGGTCTTGTCATCCTGATGACATTCGCAGAGCGACGAAGTAAGAAATGCTCTCCATGAATTCCGCAATGAGCAATGAAACGACTTTCTGGCGGGGAAGCTTGACTCAAGCATTCCTCTCTGGAAAGTGGTGAAGTCGCTCAGAAACGGAAAGCGACAACAACTCCCGCACATCCACGCTCCTCGGGGCATAATCTTCAGGACTGAGGACAAGGTCAAGGTTTTCGCTGATGCTATGGAACGACAGTTCTCTCCCAACTATGATCTTGATAATGATTAGGCTTATTATTAATACCTCTCAGTGAAGCTGACCTAACTAACCAAACTACCCGTAATCTATCTAATTTATCGAAAAAATATAAATACTAATTTATCAATTAAATTTTGAACTGCAGATCATGAGATTGTATTATTTTCATAAAATGCATGTCAAGGTGCTTGATTTTTTTGGAGAAAACTTATCTTCATGAGTTGAGCCATCTAATATTTTTATTTTGAATATATTAATTGTAGTTTCCCTAAAAAGGCTGACCGTAGCCAACTTTGGGTGAAATTTGTTAATAGGGGTGAATGGACACCTACAAGATCTAGTGTTATTTGCTCCAAACATTTTTCTGAGGAGTCATTCGATAGAACATCAAAATGTTATGTTAATCTCAAACCAAATGCTGTTCCGACCATACATCCAAACCAGGTAGGTATGTTAATAAAATCATGTTTGTTTCCTAAAATGTTCTGTATACTCAATTCAAAACAGTCATTATATTTTTTGTCCTTTTTGTAGCTTTCCTTGATATAAGGTCATCTTAAATGCATGTTTTAATGTAAATTCTAGGTTTCATAAATGTCTAGAAGTAATGAGCGTTAATGTTTTACTTTAGGAAGAATCACCACCTGCCAAGATAATAGTACTATCAAATACAGTATTAAGACCTAATTTCGACTGATCCCTTCTACAGAAACAAGCAGTTAGTATAAGACATCATAGCAATAAGCTTGTATTATTTAGAGGGCAGTAATCAATTAATCTGTAATCTATGTAATAAAGATTATTTCCAAACCTGTTTTTTATTTATGTAGGCACGCAAAAACTAAATTACTTTAAAATATTTGGATAATAAACATGTATCTAATAGATTTTATTAGGCCTAATATTTTCAACAACAAAAAAATGTAACTTCGTCCCGGTCTACTGTATTCAATGTTCACCGAGTTTGGTTTTCAAAAGATGCGATGTATGAATCTTGAGAAAGAAATGCCATAAGAAAAAATATTTAAAAAAACTCGTAGTTTTATGTGGTCCTGGGTAATAGACAGGTGTAATTTTTTTCAAATATCGCTTATAGTAATTCTCGATTCTTCGCTCTTAAAACTTGAATACAATATTGGGTCGTGTCTTACATTTTCTGAATATCCGCAAACTGATATTTTTGACCATCCGACAAAAAAAAGTTTATGAAAATTGGTCAAAAAACAAAAATGTTGAAGTAAGTGGACACACTGTATATTAAATAGATTTTTTCTAAATACATAAGTGTAGCAAATGATATCATTTACATATAGCATAAATGCAATCAAATCAAATACATACATTAAAAACAGATACGATCCTGGCAAATCCGCCATATTGTTAAGCGACCAAGCTCCACCCCCCGGTCCCTTTATCGATAGCATGATTTACGAGTATATGACAATAGCGTCTGCTTTTGTATTATATCTCGATGGTACGGAGTTACCGGCGGTTAGGCTTGTGGAGCGAATAACCAGGGGCTTCACCCTTAACGAAAGTCCTGGCATCTTGCTTCTGGATGTCTCGAAGGCATTTGATAAGGTGTGGCACAAGGGCCTTCTCTGTAAGCTAATTCAAAAGGCTCTGCATTTTGGCTCCTAAAACTTTTGAAATCCTTCCTTGAAGGTATGAAATTTCGGATCAAAATTAATAATTTCTTGTCGACAGTACGGCCCATCAGAGCCGGCGTCTCTCAGGGTTCGGTTCTAGGGCTAATCCTTTACCCACTTTTCACGCATGATGCCTCTTGCCCTAGCGACTGTGAAGTCTATCTATATGCTGATGACAGTGCACTGGTGGCCCAGTCGCGTACCGGGAATTTGGTTCACGACTGATTACAAAGTGCGGTGGATGAGGTATTGGAATGGGCAGATCGGTGGCTAATCAAAATTAATTACTCGAAAACGAAGGCTATCTATTGTACTAAAAAACGTAGCGGTGCCGCGCCTGAGGTTTCAGTGAATGGAGCTAGCATATCATGGGGAAATCCTGCTAAGTATCTCGGTGTCACTCTTGACAGGGGGATGACCTGGCAGAATCACGCTGAAGCGTTAAAAACTAAATTCTAAATTACGTTTCGGCAACTCTACCCTTTACTATGTAGAACCTCAAAATCAAGTTTGGTTAACAAAGTTCAAAAAAGATCAGTTACGCAGGTGCAGCATAGTGTTTTCTTGCCAAAACGCATATGCGTAATCTGCAGGTTTTGCAAAAGAGAACCTTGCGAACTGTCACTAACGCACCATGGTACGTCTCCAACGAGACCATTTACAGATACCTCGACATCCCTTACCTAAGGGACTACATCAAACATCAGGCGCAGTTACGTTATAGTCAAGCGGAATCGCACAGCAACCCTCTATTGCGTGAGTCAGTAGACTACAGAGTCGAGCAAGTTCGCAAGCACACAAGACCGCGGCTCGCACTGTGATCAAAATCAAATCGTGTAATTCTAGATCCAACCAAAATTACGATTTTTGCCGCACACAAATTCCTAAATTAATTTTTGGTTTAATTTAAAATAAGCGAATACCAGTTATGGTAGAATAGATATATAATCTAAATCTCGCCTCCTGTAAGAATATTACCAATAAAAGACGTTAATTATTATTATTATTATTATTAGTTATCAATAGCAAGGCATCCCTTTAACCGGCGCACTTCACCCTCTTTGCTCTTCCCCCTTCCTTCCTTTCTTTCTTCTTCCTTTCTTTCTCCCTGACTTCGTCTGGTATCTGGGCAACCAGACCTGACAGACCTACCGACCTACGATACTTTAACAAAGAGCGAAGGTCCCACGGACCGCTCTGACGGACAATGACGAATAGAGAGGAGTGTGGGACCTTATTTGGTTTCCAAATTTTGGGGTATTGGGCCCGAATCACCAGTTTATGGAGTAGTACCTTTTTGTACCTACCTTACGTTTAGTTGTTTGTTTTTGTTGTTGTTTCTGTGCTACTCTCTTCATTTTTATGGGATTTTAACCTCTTCAGCGGTAAGTTCTTTTTTTATACCATCTGACCACGTGTATTAATAATGTGTGTCCGGAAGTAGTTTGCTCAATATCTGCCTCCTTTTAGTGGGGAGGCATTGAGAAAAAACACCATCTGCACTTCTCCAGCATTGTAGCTGTTTTGTAGCCGACTTCGATGAGAAAACACCCCTTTCTCTTAAGAAATGAACTCTGATGTAAACAGGTATAGTATCATTTCAACTAACTCTTTCATAAATATTCATATATTGATTATTGTTGACTAAAATTCTTGGAGTACTTGATTTTGTTTGACATTTTTCGTGTTCAAATATGGGACAATGCCTTCCTTGGCATATTCAATTGAGTTTCCTCCATTATATTGATCATGATTTTGATTTTTGAGCTGCCACAACTTTTTGTTAAGCAAGGGATAACTTTTTGAGGGTGTATTAGTTTAACACATTTCCTTTTTTTGCCTTTGCTTTACTGTTCTTATAAAACTTTACATGGTTTTCCAAGTTCGAGTGCCTTAAGGCGGCTCCGACGCAGTGAGTTTCAAGCCATTTACAAGGGTTCAGCTGCTTCAAAACTGGCACTCCATTTTTCAATATTTTTGAATGAAATTCATACAGTATGTTGAGAAGATAATTGCCCAGGGTGCTATAGGAGCAATTTTTGAAATTTTGTTTTTGCACAAGCTTTATGATGGGTTGAAGTGCGTACTTTTTCTGTTCAACTTCGCGATTTTTTTAAAAAGAACCTAGTGAAAAAAATGAAAAAGTGGCTCTATAGCACCCTATGGGGTTTTGTTTTCAGCACTCTGTGAAAATTTCATCCAAAAATACCAAAAAATAAAGCGTCAATTTCGAAGCGCGCAAACCTCTACAAATCGTATTTTGGACGAATTTTGTCTAGTGTTTCGTGCTGCCAACCCAAGCGTTGTGGCGCAATGTGCGGACTAAGAAAGGACGTATTTAGATAATTTGGTGGCCCTATTTCATATAATATCGCGTAGATAAGTGGTTCTATAAATAGGTACTCATAATCGCGATCGCTGATACTCGTCGATTATAAAGCCGTTTTACTTCCCACGTCATTGACGAGGAAGTATTGTAACCGCGAAAAATTTCTAAAATGAGATGTTATGTTTTCAAGTCTTATGAAATCTACATCACGAAAAACTGTATCACTCATCAACTTGGAAATAACCGCTCGGATTTTTATGAAATTTCCACATGGGGCTACTAGTATGACAAAGCTTTGTAGTTTTAGTCCAGTGGCAGCGGTGCTATAGGCAAAAAAGAAAAAGTAACAATTGCTGAAACTCCGTTTTTGACATTACAGAAAAAAAATGTACTGTTTAAAAAGTGGGGGTTGGGGGAAGGTGATTCTGAATGTTGCATCTTTGATATCAGTGAAATACGTTCTATTATTAAGAAGCTTCTGATCCCAGTGATTACAGGAAATTTAAGTAACGAAAATCCGACGAATAATGTGCTCACGGTTTGAAAAAGTCGGTACCTGCTCTGTAGATTTGACACCAAGAGCCAACAGATCTATCTACAACTGCCGAGAGTAGGGAAGAATGAATTCGGATATCACTCCAGTCAAGTATAGGGGAATTTAGCGTGGAACTTTTAAATTATCGATATGTCAAGAAAATATGTTTTTGAGAAGGATAATTTGGTAGATTTTATACCTGCATTTTCATTTGAATTTCATGAGCCGTGAAATGTACCCATTTCGCCGTTACGTTCAATTTGTGTTTTGCAGTTTGTGATGTTTTTCTGGATATAAGCAGGACATAATTGCCTAAGGTGCTATCAGAGCGTTTTACAAAATTGTGACTTTATTATGGTGAGTTGAAATGCTTACTATCGAATTTGTGTTCAACTTCTTGATATTTTAAAAAGATCCTAGTAGATAAAATCGAAATAGTGGATAGTAAGCACCCTGTGGACTTTGTTCTTAGCACGCTGCAAGATTTTCATTTGGAAATAATAAAAAATGAAACGTAAGCAGTGATGTGCGAATCGGTTTTTGGGCGAAATTCGTCTACTGTTTCGTCCTGCCAGTCCAAGCGACGCGACGCCGATGGTGCATTCCGGCTAAGAAAAAATGTATTTAAATAATTTGATATCATTCCTAAAATAAATTCAAGAACTCAAATTACAATTCGTTTATTTATGTCAGTAAACACAATTATGTTTACAAGGGTCATGTGGTACATGGTAACAATTGAATGAGAGTCATAAAAATATCTTATGCCGTCAAAATAAGAGGAAACAGTTAGGAAGTTTTTGTAAAGCAATAAACAGGTAGGCTTATACCTGGATTAAGTACATTTCTTGTCTCCTGTAATAGGCAGATGGAGGCGATGCTGCCAGAAATGGAAGTGTGCGATCAATAAACAAACCACAAGACTGAACTGTGTCCAGTGATTTCTGTATTGCCTTTTTTATTGCCTGACTATAAATCTCTGTTGAGTATATAATGGAGTTTACTAGAACTTTGCAGCTTATTGTCTGCCTTCTTC